TAAGAGAAGGAATAAGAGATGGAGGAGGTAGTCTAAAACTGTAATACAGTATAGTTCTGCATACAGGCATATAGACTTACCTCTCAGGGTATCACCTAAGAGTTCAACTATTCAGGGGACTCCAAACCCATAAGAATTGGTGGTATAAATGCCATCTTCACTATTACAATGAAGATCATATTAAATGTTAAAGGCAACAGATTGATTGGTCTAAGTTTAAAAAGATGATATAAACAACATCAAGTACCCGGTAAAAATAATAGAATTATAAAGGAAGGAAGGACCAACATGGGAAGCAGTCCACACAGCAGACTCCTAGAATGACTTTCGCAGTAAATAACACTCTGACCTCAGAATCAACCCATAAGGCTTCCTGGTCGGGCTGAAAGGCCTGCAAGAGCATTTCAGGCATGGAAAGACAAGACTCTGTGACAAAAAAAATATCCTACACGAGGATCTCTGTGAGACCTCAGAGGAAAGAAAAAGTCATCAAAGAAGGAGACACTCTTCTTTGAAGGGAGAAGAGAACATCCACTTTGTTAATGGCCATGTCCAAACACCAGCAGAGTCTATGGTCACAAAAGGCTTCCATAAGATGGGAGAGGGAATGGGAAGTGGGAAGGGAACAGGGTGGAGATCATGAGGGAAAGAACCTAAAGTTCTTTCCTAAAGAACTTTATTCCTAAAGTTGTATCTATGTAAAAATGCATTCATTAAATAAAAAAAAAGACTTCCACAGCCTTGGCAGCCCATGGCAAGAGCCTTGGATGATCACATAATAAAAAAGAGTGTTAATTGTTAAAGGAACAACAGTAGTCACTGTGAACTTGCTCCCCAGGTAGGATCTCTGACCCTATTGAATTATGAGAATTGACTGCAAATTCTCTCCCCAAACTGTACTCTACATGTTGTGTGTGGTATTGGTGCAAATTGTTGAAGTCTATGACTAGCATATGATTGGTCCTCTGTATATAAAATCATACTAAAAATGTACCATAATGAAGGAGATGGGAGAAGGAATGGGAGATGGGATGGAAGCTGGGGGGGGGGTATGAGGAAAAGAACCACTATATTCCCAAAGTTGTATCTATATAAAAATGCATTCATTAAATAAAAATTTAAAAAAAGAGCCTTGGGCGATCACATAACATACATAATAGTGTTACTTGTTAAATAAACAGCAAGAGTCACTGTGCACTATCTTCCCATGCAGGACCTCTGTCACCAAAGAGTTGTATCATGAGACATAATAGTAAAACTTGTTCTCAAGTATCACTTCCTTTTAGTGTATTAAGGGGAGGATATTCTTATGTCTCATGTGTTATAGTTATGTCTAAGAGCTCCCAAAAGATGTATTATCCTTGTGTTCTTATTTAAAGACAATGAAGTTTCTAAATGGAAAGAAGGGGGAGGAAAGAAGGGAAAAGAGGAAGGGGAAAAAGCAAAATCACCTTCAAGAAGCAATGATGGAACAGCCTTTGTCTAGACTGTTGAACAGTATTCCTGGGTTTTTAATTCCATTCTTTCTTTTTTCTTTCTCTTTTCCTTTCTCAGACTAAAGAGGAGATGGAGAAGAAAGGGGGAGGAGTGGGGGGAGGGCAGGTACAGTGGGAAGAAGTACTGTGTTCCTAATGTTGTATTTAGGAGATACATACATATAATACATAAAAGAGCCTACGTACAAGAATCCTGATCTCAATTGCAGCTGTATGGGCTGCTGTCACACCTCTTACAGTTACTTGTGTGCTACCAGCTCCACGCCAGAGTTAGCTGCAGCTCTGGACTCTAACTTCCTTTCATTGTAGACTGAGGAGGTAGCAGTGATGGTTCAAGATTAAAGGAATTATCCAGGGGATGAAAGAACTTGCTTGCTCATTCTCTGTCTCTCTCTCAAATTTAAAATGTTTTAATTTAGATTTTACTGAAATTGACCTACACTGTGTCCGGAAATCAATTCTATTTCACACCCAAGCCCTGTAAACCCTCCATACACTCCTTACATTCCAACACCAGGGCTGGGCCTTCAGCCACTGCAGTCACTCTGAGTCACCTGCACAGCACTCACTCTCTCCCTCATCTCCTCTTCTCTTCCCCACATGTTCTTTTCTCCCATGGTTTGCTTGACATCCTTCCTCCAGGTAACAATTTCTACTTTTCTGTGTTTTTCCTTTTCCAGTATTCATTTATCACCCCTAAAAAATCAAACCAGGCCTTGAACCATTAACAAATACAGGATTATTCTGAAGTGTAAGAAAATGGTAGTGAACAATCACATATCACATTTTTTGTTCTTGTAAACACACACACACAAACACACACACACACATCCCTACTGAGGGGCAGGAGTTTGGTCTTCCAGCAAAGATGTGGGTTAAGATGTCTGCATTCGATGTCAGAGTGCCTGGGTTTGATTCCCAGCTCCAGCTCCTAATTCCAGCATCTGGACAAGGTACACACTTAGAAGCAGTAAATGATGCATCAAGTTGGGTCCCTGCCAACCGTGTGGTAGACCTAGATTGGATTTTCAGCTCCTGACTCTGGCTCCAGCATAGTTCAAAAAGATCCCTGGCCACTGTGGATATTTTGGAAATGTAACAGCCAATGAGAGTGTTTTTCTCTCTCTCTCCACCTTCCACCCTCTTACTAAAAAAAAACATATTTTTTAAAAACATGGCAGAGGGGCTGGCAGTGTAGCTTAGCAGGTAAAGCCACTGCCTGCAGTGCTGGCATCCCATATGGGCACTGGTTCGAGTTCCAACTGCTCCACTTCCCATCCAGCTCCCTGCTAATGCACTTAGGAAAGCAGCAGAGGGTGCTCCAAGTCCTTGGCCTCCTGCACTCACACGGGAAACCAAAAAAAAGTTTCTGGCTCCTGGATTCAGATCAGCTCAGCTCCAGCCATTGTGGTCATTTGGGGAGTGAACCGGGGTGGAAGACCTTTCTCTCTGTGTCTCTTCCTCTCTCTGTGTAACTCTGTCTTTCAAATAAATAAAGTAAATCTTCAAAAAAAATTAAAGAAAATAAATAAAAACATTGCATGTACTTAGCTTAGTGGTTAAAACACCTACTACCCACACTGAAGTATCTGGGTCAATCCCCAGATCAGACTACAAACTCCAGCTTCTGGCCAGTGGAGACTCCCTGAGCCAGCACTGAGGGACTGAGTTGCTGACATGCATGTGGGAAAATGGACTGAGGTCCCAGCTCCTAGTTTTGGCCTTGTCTGTTGCTAGCAGCTAGGGAGGGATATAGGAGACAGGGTATCTCTCACTCTTGCTCTTGCTCTAAGTTTCTGTATATCAAATACATTTTTTAAAGATTTATTTTTTATTTGAAAGGCAGAGTTGCAGAGAGAGAGAGAGAGAGAGAGAGAGAGAGAGAGAGATCTTCCATCTGCTGGTTTACTCCCCAAATGTCTGCAACAACCAGAGCTACGCCAATTCAGTGCCAAGAGCCAGGAGCTTCATCCTGGTCTCCCATGTGGGTGCAGGGTCCCAACTACTTGGGCCATCTTCCACTGCTTTACCAGGTACACCAGTGGGGAGCTGGATCAGAAATGAAGCAGTCGGGACTCAAACCTCTGCCAATATGGGATTTTGGCACTGCACGTGGTGGCTTAATCCGCATACCATAGTGCCAACCCCTGTCAAATGCATTTTTAAGCTTTTCTAATCTTGCTCAGAGTACACAAATATTGCACATAATTTCAGATATATCAGAGATCCCAACCCAATAATCTGTCCACGAACATCCCAGAGGCTCTGTTCCTGGATTTAGAACATTTACTGATGGGGCCAACACTGTGGCACAGCAGGTTAAAGGTCTGGCCTGAAGTATCGGCATCCCATATGGGTGCCAGTTCTAGTCCTGGCTGTTCCTCTTCTGATCTGACCCTCTGCTATGGCCTGGAAAAGCAGTGGAAGATGGCCCAAGTCCTTAGGTCCCTGTACCCACATGGGAAGACCTGGAGAAAGCTCCTAGCTCCTGGCTTCAGATCGGCACAGCTCTGGCTGTTGTGGCCATCTGGGGAGTGAACCAGTGGATGGAAGACCTCTCTCTGTAACTCTGTCTTTATTTTATTTTATTTATTTATTTTTTTATTTTTGACAAGCAGAGTGGATAGTGTGAGAGAGAGAGACAGAGAGAAAGGTCTTCCTTTTCCGTTGGTTCACACCCCAATGGCCGCTACGGATGACACACTGCGGCCGGCGCACCACGCTGATCCAAAGCCAGGAGCCAGGTGCTTCTCCTGGTTTCCCATGTGGGTGCAGGGCCCAAGGACTTGAGCCATCCTCCACTACACTCCTGGACCACAGCAGAGAGCTGGACAGGAAGAGCAGCGACTGGGACAGAATCCAGCGCCCTGACCGGGACTAGAACCCAGTGTGCTGGCGCCGCAGGCAGAGGATTAGCCTATTGAGCCCCGGCGCCAGCCAATGTAACTCCGTCTTTTAAATAAATAAAATAAATCTTAAAAAAAGAGAATTTACTGAGAAACTAATTCCTAGGCAACCACTGATATGATTCTTAGAGGAAGAGACCCAGACTGGACAGTGGTCAGAGGACAAAGAAGCAGAGAAGACCATATTCCAGAGGGCCAGGAAGACCAAAGTGGGCCTTAAAGGGAGGAATTTGGGGGTAAGAAGAATCCCAATCCCACTCTCCTCTTAGTAAAATCTGGGTCCTGAGCAGCATGATTCCCAGAACTTCCTGATCTAGAGTTGTTTTCCTGCTGCAGGCTCTCCTCACACCTGAACCCTCTGTGGTCACCCTGCCAATGACAACAGTCAATTGAATAGGGGTTATAAGAAGGTGCCATTAACCCTAACCATGACCTGTAGTAGACAAAGGGCCCAGATGGAAACAGAGCTGTGGAGCCCCTGCTGTTTCCCTTGGAGGCTACAACAGGATGCCCAGCCCATCTGGAGTTGAGTCCACAGGTAGAGAAGGGGCAGGACAGAGGCAGGGCAGGGAGGCAGAGGAAACATCAGGTCACTTACCAGCATACAGCTGCGCCTTCCTCCAGGCTGAAAGGAAACACACCCTGGTGAGACCACAGCCACACCACCTATTCAGCCCTCGCCTGCCCTCTGTGCTGAAGGTCAGACTCTGCAGGAGGAGAGAGGCTGCACAGGAGGGGCCTCCTGCAGATGCAGACAGCAGAGGATTGTGGGAAACTCCCTGACCACAGATCAGGAAGCTGCAGGACAGCTGAGTTACACCCTGCCCCACTGCTGGGTGACTTCTGGCTGTCAGCTCTCTGTCCTGTGCCTCAAAACCCACAAAGTCTCCTGTGTCACTGGGTTCCTCAGTGCTATTTGTCAGGATCAACTGTGAGAAAATAGTTCAGTGAAAAAGCTCAAATTACTCCATAGTGATAGCAATTAATTACTGTACAGCATTTTATGGCAGGGGTATATTGGTGGAAATTAAAGGAATAGGAAAAGAAAGAAGGACAAAGATACAAGACCAGCTGCAGAGTCAGAGTGGCCAACATTCTCATGCAGTATTTCTAGAGGGAAGCATCATTACTCTGAGTCCATTTCAACTCACCCTATCACAGCCCATACCAGGTCATCATCCCAGTCCTCTTCTCATCACTTTTTGATCAGCAAGCTCAGGAGGAGGAGAGGAACTTCTCCCCCTGGGTTGTTGTTTTATGAGGGAGGGGGCAGAAGATTTCACCCCCAAGTTCAATGACCCCATTTATCCTCTCCCTCCTCTTTAAATCTTAGTGCATCTGGCTGATGGCTTCCTAGTGCAGACCAAAAGCAAGAGCACTGGAGTCTAAGACAGTAGCAGTATTCATATGGGCACAGGCCAGGCGTGAAAAGACAGGATGGACACCATGACCCATCATTGCACCCAAGTCTAGAAGCACAGAGAGAAAATATCTGCTCCTCTGTGAGAGAGCACAGGGAGCAGGGCTCCACCTCCCACCAGCTGCCAATGCTGTCCCTAGGAAAGGGATCCACATGTCTAGACCCAAGGAGATGGGACAGCTGTACACAGGTGGGACAAGAAATCACATCTGGAGAGTCACTCACCAGCCAGGTAAGCTGCCTTCCTCCTACCTGAAAAGCAGCACACAGGGAACAGGTGAGCTGAGACCCAGAGCGTCCTCCACAAAGGGACAGAGAGTTCAGAAGGGGAGCAGAGCTTACCAAGTTCTGCCTGGAGCTCATCTGAAAGAGAGTGAAGCACCATAAACTCCCCTCCCCAAAAAGAGGAAAAACCATGAGCCTGGAGAACCCAGATAAAAGAACTTCTCTGGGACCAGCATTGTGGTCCAGCAGATTAAGCCACTGTCTGCCATACCAGTCATCTCTTGTGAGTGCCAGTTCATGTACGAGCTGATCCATCATATCCAGCTCCCTGGTAATGAGTGTGGGAAAGCAACTGGAAATTGCCCAAGTTCCCCTGACACCCAAATGGAATACTAGAATGGAGTTAAATGCTCTTGGCTTTCATCTGGCCCATCCCTAGACACTGTGGCCATCTGATGAGTGAAATAGCAAATCGAAGACATGTCTCTGTCTCTGTCTATCTGTCTCTCTCTTTTTCTATCACTTTGCTTTCAAATAATTTTTTAAAAATATTTAAAATAAATAAAATGAAAGGTAGAGTTACAGAGGGGCAGAGGCAGAGAGAGGTCTTCCATCCACTGGTTCACTCCCCAGAGCTGTGCTGATTTGAAGCCAGGAGCCAGGAGCTTCTTCCAGGTCTCCCACATGGGTGCAGGGGCCCAAAAACTTCGGCCATTTTCTACTGCTTTCCCAGGCCATAGAAGAGAGCTGGATTTGAAGTGGAGTACCCAGGACTCAAACCGGCACCTATACGGGATGCCAGCACTGCTGGTGGCAGCTTTATCCATTATGCCACAGCACTGGCCTCCTAAAATAAATAAATATTTAAAAAGAAAAACGAAGTAGTCTTCTCTGTATCCTAGAAAAATTCTCACTTCATACCCACTCTGTGTCCATGCCTCCAGCTGTTCTTTAAGGATCTCCACAGCCACCTGCCCAGGGCCTTGGACACTGGATTTCCCTGAGAGCTGCACCCATGGACTCAAGTCCTGTCATGTTGTCCCTCTCAGCACCAGCTGTTACCCTTGCTCCACCTGGACCCTGGCCCCCTACCTCTGGCCTTCAGTGTCTCCTCCTCTGCCCGCTGGTCCTCCTCCTTATCCCAGCCCAGCTTCTCCTGTTTCTGGCTCTCCTGCAGCTTTGCAGAGTGCTCTCTCCTGGTGAAGCAGCCAGCCCCAAAGAGCAGGAGCCCCAGCACCGTCAGGCTCCCTGCAAAAGCTGCCTTCCAGGGAGAGGCCTGTGGGAAGAAGGGCTCTGGGGCCCAGGCAGAGACCCAGTCAGGGGAGCACCCAGGCCCACCCCGCACACTCAGGGATGCCAGTACCACCTCCCAACCCTGCCAGGAATGAGAAGCAGCACCGACCTGGGATGGACACGGCCATCGCCTTCTCCTGGCCCAGGATGGGATTGAGGACAGAGCAGCTCACACTCCCTGCAGAGCTGTCTCTCACCACCAGAGCCGCCTCCACGCTGAACAGCCCTGCTGCGTCCTGGGCATGGGCCTCAGAGAACTCCAGGAACTTCTTCCCGCTGAGGTCTGTCCACTGCACCTGGGGCTTCGGGAACCAGCCCGAGGCCTTGCACAGCACGCGGACCCCGTCCTGCTCCGGCCCTTCAATGTGCACTTGAGGGGCAGAGCCCAGGCCTGCAAGAGGGGAGCTGTGGAGACCTTGGAGGCCTCCTTAAGCCTGGGGACCCCCGTGTTGCCTCCCTGTTGCATTGCATTCTGGATGTTCCAATGAAAAAGAGCCCCTGGAGGAGATAAGAAGGGCCCCTACCTCTTGGAACAGAAGAAAGGAGCATAGGATCCCACAGGGGACACAGAGAGCTCCATTGTCCAATCATGCAGGGGACAGACTGAGACACATAGAGAGAAGTTGAAATTTCAAATGTCTGCTGTAAATACACAGCCCAGGAGACATAAAAAGAGGATGGAAATCTAGCCTGGTCCAGGAAGAACAGGGTGAATATTTGACAAACCTTCTTCAAAACTGTCTTGAGTGTTCAGACCTCCTTCCAAGAAGTAGTAGAAAATATTTGAAAGTAAGAGTTTGATGGATTTTGTTTTGATTTAATTAATTGCCTGCCAGCTCTGCAGTATCAAAATGGAGCTTACTCACATGCTACTATGACACGGTGGGAGGGAGTCTCGCCATAAAGGGGGAATTGTTCCTCTGAACTCTGGACCCTATGGGTCATCAATCTTCTAAGGCTTGGTCTCACCCAGTAGGCTCTCTTACTCCCTCTCCCACATGAGTATACTAATGATTGTAAACCTGTTCCTTTTTCCTTTATACATTTCATAAATGTAAAACATGGCCAAATTTTTATAGAATTCCTTTTCTTACCTTCTTAGAAGTATAATCTTAAGAGTTATTGTCAGGCTGGCGCTGTGGTGTAGCAGGCAATGCTGCTGCTTG